TCTGTACCTCCTCCACATCTTCGACTGGAGCAGCTCTGGTTTCATCTTCTGGTCGGTTATCTACTATTTCAACACCCATAACTTGCCGATCATCAGGTATCTGTTTGGGATTAATCTCGGGTGTCTGAGCCTTGCTCTTCTGAGGTTGTGTTACCGAGGTGATATACCAATACCGAGCTACCTCCTGGTTGCCTCGCAGTGTTGCTATTCCCGTAGGAGTTGGGAACTTCATGCATAGATGAGACTGGGAAACCACGGCTCAGATCTCAGTCAGTGTAGGTCGGCCAATGACAGCGTTGAAAGAGGACGCCATCTTGACCACTAAAAACCTTACTGAAGGGGTCACATAACTGCGGCCACTTCTAAAGGCAACATTCATGGTGAGGACTCCTTCAACTGGAACCGGTTGGTTGTTGAACCCGTAGATGGGACCATCATACCGCTGCAACAGAGCTAGATCTATCCCAAGACTCTCAAAACAATGGAAGTACATGATGTCTGGTGCACTCCCGGTGTCAACAAAGACACGCTGCACCTCACAACTGTTGATTGTGACAGAAGTGACTAGAGGATCATTGTGAGGTGTGACAACCGTTTCAAGATCAGCAGACGTGAAAGTGATGGGTTGATTCTTCCACTCAGCATCGTCAAATTTTCGTTTCTGAGCGCGGTTCTGATGCCTAACCTCTCTGACATACAGCTTCCACTGCTTAGAGCTCAGTCCACCAACTTCCAGACCTCCCGTAATCATGTGTATGACTCTAGCTGGTGGTGGGAGTGGGGGTGGGGCTTGCTGATATCCCACACCTTGTCTGTTTGGGGGATTGCGGATTGCTTAATGCTGTGGCCCTTGTTCTCTGACAAACCTTGGCTGTTCCACTCTCTGGATATACTCATTCAACATTCCTTTCTGTGCCAAACTTTCCAGTTCGGACCTCAGACTATTACATTGCTCTGTTGTATGACCGTGATCCTGATGAAAATCACAGTATCTAGTATGGTCTCTGGCAGCAGCAGCAGTTTTCATTGGACCCGAACGTCGTAAGTCCATTTTATTCTTAATCTGCATAAAAATTTGTGACCTCGGCAAATTAAAAGGAGTCCAATTAACTGGAGGTTTACCTGTAGGTTGTTGCGGAGGTGCTGAGTTCGGCCTTCCGAATCTCGAGGTGGAAGTCGACATCGGACCTCGGTTCTGTGTTGTCTTTATCCGTTTCCTATTCAGATTCTCATCTCTCCAGTCCGGGTGTTGGCTCTTAATAGGAGTTAGGTGTTGCGACAGGGCGTATTCCTCAGCCGTTATGAATTTCAACGATCTATCGTTTACCTCACTGAAGGTGGTGGCGGGATGCTTAAGCAGACTGTCTCTGAATCTTTCATGGCCGAGACCCGAGATCACAGCTGTAATGCCCACTGCTTGGTCGAAAGAGTTAACCTCTAGCACTGCATCATTGAATCTGCTCATAAAATTTTTCAAAGACTCTCCGTCCCTTTGCCTAACCCGCATCAGCTCAGAAGTGGTTTTCCTGATCAACCTTCTACTGGAAAACTTTGTGGCAAAAGCAGATGCCAGTTCTGTGTACGAGCTGATTGATCTCGGAGGCAGACTGTAGTACCAGGTTCGAGCATTACCTCGGAGAGTAGAGGGAAAGATTTTGCACATCAACGCGTCAGAGGCATTCTGAGCCTGCATGCAAGAGTAAAAAGCATGTAGATGATCATCGGGGTCCTTCGTCCCATCATAAGTTTCAAGCTGTGGTATTCGGAAGCCAACGGGGTAGGGTTCCAGTATAATATTGGTGCTGAGAGGGTGAGGTACGGAGTCAGCAGCAGGGTGTGGAGGTGGGATGCCTCGCTGTTCGACCACTAGCTTTTCTAAGCTATCTAAACGTCAGGTGACATCATCACGAGGGGGTTGCATAACTGGTGCGATGTGAGATTGGCCCTGAGATTCACTAACAGGGGGAGCATGTTTAACTGGGTCAGGATCTTGTGGTGGGGCTAGAGGCTGCGGAGCAGGATTAAGTAGGTTGATGAGTGGATCACCAGGGTTGTTCCGGGCTAATAACTGAGCCAACACTAACTGAAAAACACCAAACTGCTGCTGCATGGCAGCGAGCTGAGTTGCGA